AAAGAGAAGCTATGGTCAAGAAGGACTTCTGGTTCAAGGGGTTACGCGAAAAGGTCGAACACGTGGTATCCAACTGCCTTGACTGTATCCTAACCGAACGAAACATAGGTAAACTAGAAGGGAACCTGCGAAATTACAAAAAAAGAAGAAAGCGTGCGAAGCAGTACCAAAGGAAGGACCCGCGCACACCTCGAGTTTATGAAACCTTCTGATGACAGCGAGAGATAGAAGGCAACATCTGAGGGCAGATGTTATTGCAGGATGGCCGAGTGTAGTATCGTGGACGAAAAGCCTAAGAGATATCGGGCGAACCATGAACAATGTCGCGTGAGCCGAGGCGCTGTTGGGTCTGTTAATGTGTCCTCGGTCTTTACAAGTGCCTAGTTTCGTTAGAAAAAACCTACCTGAACCTGGCTACGAGCGTCTGCGGAACACATGTGCGGTGGGCCTAGCAAAAGGCAAAAGTGATGCTACAACGGACAGAGAGTTAGTTGAGAAGCAGAGTGTGAGTCGAGAGGTCACAGAGTGTGAGTCGACGTACGACGATATTGTAGTCGGCCCTGTTGTTATTGAATATCGCTTATTAAAATACTCTAAACTCGAAATATAACATCATTACCTGTCCTTACTGTAAGAATCCATACGTTACTTACTACACGTATGATTATTTCGAGAATCCAATTATCTTAAAAATTCTATTTCGTTATTCAGATTTTATTTATTTATTTATTTTATAATTGTTATATATATGCCGGGTTTACATTAGAATTAGGGTTAGGGGCGTAAAACGAATCTTCGTTTGGATTACACGTTGTCGTTATGCAATAGAGAAGACATAGGCTAGTGCAAATGATTATCATAGAACCGTACAAGTGACTGTGGTAATTAGATACTCAAGAAACTAATGACAATGATCCTAGGTTCAATAACGAATCCGCGGTCGACGGGACGATAGGTGAACGTGCTCACAAAATCTAAGTCGGACGCGTAATATTCACTGGTCGTAAGGGGCCAACTCTTTTCGTTGATGAGATCGCGAGAGAGAATGACTTTCCCGTCCCGATGATGCCACAGAGGAAAATTATAATGGGGTGTGTCTAAGGACACGAGATCATCGGATTCGTCG